AACATAACAAAGTGGAAACACAAGAAGATAAGCTGCTGCGGTAGTGTTTCCTCACTGGCAGCAAGACTGGGTGAAGCAACAGGATATATGAAAGGGTTTGAGTGAGATGAAGAGTAAAGTTCTAGACGATTTTCCTTTAGTTTAATCTCTGCCACCTGCCATGAGGCTCCTGTATCTTTGAGCCTGAGAAGGCCCCATTTTGCTCAGTTCCGTTTAATCGCAGCATTTAAATATGTGTGTAAAAAACCAATATCAAGAAAACCTCATCTGCATGAAACCAAATTTGATATTCTGTCCCTCTCTTAACGTGATCCCATGAATTTCTTGCATTGTTGTGTCCCATGTACTAAGGGTCCCATGCAGAGAGCAAACAATAAAGCAGTGAGAAGACAGATGCTCTGCTAATGGGAAACCAAGGAGAAGAGAGTCTGTGAGGGATTACAGGCAGCCTGGGGTTGGAATACATTATTAGCATAGCACCCAATTCAGAAATTAGTTTTCAGAATTAAACGCCTGAAGCATTTTGGCAAAAACTCCTGATCATCCCTCTCAAAGGCCCTTAAAGCATAAAAGAGTAGGAATCGCAAGCCTAGGCTGAGCAATCACATTCGGTGACCTTGCAGTGCTGTAACAGTGAATTGTAGTTTTTACGGCTTCATACCATTACCGGGGCAGCAACTGCCACACCTACTGAAATGTAACCCACTCAATCTGCTTGCACAAACCTTTAGCAGGTTTTGAACATCCTCATCAAAGAAGAAAATGGGCTGGAATGAGATTCCAGGGTCTGTTTCCAGGAGGAGGGTTTTGCTTTGTTGAGTGCGTAACAGCAGGGAAGGGCATCAGCCTCTCCTTGGGCACGGTTAGGCATGCGAAGGAGAAGAAGCGACATGTCTTTTCAAAGATCTGACATTGCCTAAGGTAGAAACTTTGGGTCCTGAAGCCTTTTTCAGGCGTGCTGTTTTCTGAATGTTTTTGCTTTTGAAAATCATGATGAGAACATCAAGCTTTAAAAGACCCTGGGTAGACAACCAAGATTGGTTACAGGATTGAGGGCAGACAGGAGAAATTGTTTCTCATAGTACTTGGTGGGATTATCCTCCATGCATAATTGTTCATTATATGCTCAAAATTCATTGTTAATTTCTTTTGGATATATTGCACATTAGACAGAAGAGTTATAAACCCCAAGATTATCACAGGAGGACACTAACAGGCCTAAATATTCAGGACAGAAGGGGACTTGTTTTCCTCTTACATTGAAACAAAGACTGTTGGACAGAATCATTAGAGATTTTTTTGCCCGTTTGATAATCAAAGTATAGTGGAAAGCAAACAAAAGAAAAGTTCAGCCAGCCAAGTCTTCTACTTTATTTTTACTCTTCTATTCTAACATAATTAACATATTTCTCAAGGTTTATTTAGTTTCCCAGAGTCTTACTTTATGTAAGTGTATCCATTGGGGAGCTTGATTACAAAGTCTTGATTCATGAACATAAAGTGAGATTTTATTATCCTGGGAGAGAAGTCAAGGATGAGGTGAACATGGGAGAAAACAGCTGGGACCAAACTAAGAAATCAGGAAAAATAATATACCAGCTCTTCAACATGCATTTGTGTTCTTTGCATCCTGGTAACTAACATCTTATTTCTAAGTCACAGAAGTGAGAGGAAAGGATAACACTTCATTTTCATCTTTGAATTTCTGAGCTGTTCTTGTTAAAACAACTTCTTTCAATGTTTTTATATATGCTTAATGAGCATCTATAATGAATATTTGGGAAAGTTCAAAATTACACTTCCTGTTTGTCCTGGGTATGGACTGTTTGTAGACTTCTGAAAGTTTCTGTCCAGTTTGAGATTGGTCTGTATTTACATCATCTTACTGGTCTGCCAACAAAACTTTTTACTTTTTTTTTTTTTTTTTTTTTTTTTTTTAAAACTGGCATGTACAAAACCTGTATAGAGTAGGGCTAGAATTGAGCTCAGTACTGCTTACATCCTAAATGAAATTGTATGTATAAAATACTATGTGTACAGGAAGCATAGCTGTGATTTGGCTTAGGGTCTTGCCTATCAGCCTGTATTACTTCGCTGTTTCACCTCAATCTGTTTTTCACGTCTCCAGATTGCAAGGGAGGGGTGGTGTGCGCAAAAGCTCTTTTCCCCCCTCCAACTATGTCAATAATAAAAGAGGCTACAGACCTGTAGAGCATACCCTCCTCTTCTCTTGCAGTGACCTAGTCCACAAGCTTTGGGGGACCAGTGCTTCTTCCACCCACCCACGCTAGGAACCCCGCACTGGGGAGGCTCTTGAGTGCGTTGAGAGATAATAAACGAGGCCATTCTGCCTTGTGTGCCGTCTGGAGCAAGTCACAACTTCTCTTTCGTTGTACACGCAAGATTTGTGTGGGTTAATAATAATAAAGCGCTTCAAAGACAGATGTTGCCGATTTTCATTAGTGTTTTAAGACTTTGTAAGTTCTGCTTCTGAAATTGAAAACTTAGCACAACAGCCCTGTTTGAACTCTCCAAGTTAAGAACAAACACTGCAAAGCAGAAGTTGACAGGTGAGCTACAAAAATGTAGAGAAAATAATTTCTTGTTTACCTTTAAACAGCAGTGTCCGCAGTACTACCCACATGTAGAAAACAGTGCTGCTGGGATCTGAGGCTGTTCTTTTCCAGTCCAAATAGATTTAAAGCTCAAGCAGAGCTGAATCCAAAACAGTGATCTCACTGAATCAGGTCTCCAGTTTGTCTGGGATTGATACTGTGATCAGAAGAGTGTAGCAGTAAAGGACAGCTCCCCGAGCCCATGAAATATTTTATCACTGCTATTAGACTCACTGCCATTTTGCAAAGTGTTCTTAATTGGGTAATCCAGTTCTGGATGTGTTTGACAAATAACAATTCTCTTGTTAAAAACAAATCATGGTTTTAATTTAATAGGGTTAGTCATATAAAGAGTGATTTTTGTGTCAGCAAAACCTTTCTTTCTGACAAACAGTGTAATTTATGACAATCTAGTTAGCAATAAATAAATGACATTAATCTGACCACTATGCCATTCTGTTCCTGGGGAATAATGTTCCCGCTTAATCAATAGCTGGGTAAATGCTCCTTTGCATTCCTTATCAAATGACAGCCAGATGGTACTAGTAAATTCATTCCAGCAGGATTTTAGAATTAGCTGGGTTTGTACTATTGTTAATCCTCTGCTGTTTGCGCCACTAGGACCTACCCACCTGTTTTCCAGTAACCCTCGAGTTTGCAACCTTAGGAAATAGTCTAGCCAGATGGTTACTCAGATACAGTGCAGCCAAGAAGCATCCCAAGCAGTGAGGCCTTTTTTTCTGCATCAGTAAGAAGAAAAAAGAGAAAAAAAACAGTATCTTGCAGAAATAGCCAGCTAGGATTGTCTGCCTCTGTATTTGTTCCTCAACACCCTGGTCTGTTTTGATGAAGTTTCAAAGTTTAAGATTGCATGAGCTGTGTTCCTTAGTGCATAGTAAATTTGGAGCTGTGACAGCTGCTATACCATCATTTACTGACTTTCTGCGCCCGTCAAAGTGTCTGCGAGACCTTTTCCTTCATAATCACTTCGTTGCATAGCAACAATAATTTTGCCTCCAACCTATTGATCTGAAATAACATGTAATCCCCTCACACCGATAAAAAGGAAAACATATGGCAGCTCTAGGCTGGGAACACTGGCTTTTGAAGTGAGGGGACAGTTAATCCCCACTAAATCAAGGGGGGAATGGAGCAAGCCGTAAACTCTGTTGGGCTGAGGCTCTGAGGGTGCATTAGATGCCTGAGCCAGTTAACCTGTGCTCTGGGAGAAGAGTCCAGTTTACACTCATCCTCCCCATTCCCTGTCTTTTATCTTGTGCAACTGAAGCACATTTCAGGTGAGCTTTGCTAAAACCTTAATTGCTGAAATAAGCATCACTGTGCAATACTGTACAAATAACTGGGCACCCTGTCCCTCTGGCAGGAAAGAATGCACATGCAGCACTTCGCTTGCAGGGGACTGCAGTGGGTGAGGATAAAGTTCAGCCACTGCAAATACCAGTTTCAAAATTACATGGCTGGAGTTCTTAAGGCCTCTTGCCTGTGGGGTAGTTGTTTGGTAGGTCAGTCGTCTGGCCTGATAACCTTGATTTTTTTTTTTTTTTTTTTAATATACTTCTAAACACAGGGCTAAAGACAGACTTTGGTATCTGAAACAGGATCTGCTTTGGGGACGCAAGTACAAAGTTAAGGTCAAAACCACTCAGGCAGGGAATGCAGAGCTTTGGTCCTAAGTGGGTGAAGCATCTCCCTGCTGCCATGCCCCAGGCACCGAACCTGAGAGGTCTCTGCTGCCAGGCCTGCCCAGCCTTCCCGTTTCCCACTGCAGGATAGAGCATGGGCTGACGGTTGGGGTTTGTATCGTCTTTCTGAGGTACCCTACTGTTGCCCACATTGTGCAGGAGGCCCAAGTTCCTACGACTGGACTTTTAGATTCTTCCCTGGATAAAAAGCTTGGTATCCACGAGGCAGCTAAATCCTCCTTGGCCTGCATATAGCACTGGTGAAATATAGGTCCAAAATCTGAGGTCAGTAAGCATCTGGTCACTAATTTGAGCAGGAGTTGGGAGGTAAGTCCTATGTTACTTCCTCAACAACAACCAAAAGAGTGAAATCAAGCTAATTCCAGCACGCCAAATGCAAACTCACCAAATAGGCTTCAAAAATAAAAATCAAACTTAAAATAATATTGTTACATTGGAAATCTCATTGGAAATCCTGCAGTGGATCAGAAGGCCAAGCTGTTATCTGAGCGTGCTGCCAGAGCAGAGCGAAGGCTTCTGAGTTCCTGTCTCCCAAACCTTTTGTATAGTTTGCTATCATATATGGCACAGGCTGGAAAACAGCACAGCGTTGACTTAAAAGGTATTTCTGCAGCTAGAGGAGTGGCTACTAATAATCCTTTCTTTTCTGTCATTTGAACAGTATTCAGGTTTTCAGCAAACAGCGGACAAGTGCTTTGTTTGTGGACACCTCATAATGGAAATGGTAAGAGATCTAAATTCCTAACTGCGGGGTAGCTTGCTTTTCATGTACTTTGGGTAGTGCACTGTGAGACGTTGTGCTTTTTCCCTAGTAAGACTACCATTGTGTCTTCACTGCTGTCAAGGTAATTTTTTTAACTGAGGCAGTAAATAAAAGTATCTTTATGCTCTATTACTATTAAGTACAGTAAATTTGGCTTCTTTTCTACCTGAGATCGTGGGAGGCTGTTGTTCTGCCAAATGCCAGTTTAAAAAAATAAATAAATAAATAGAATTTTAATACTAAAGGGTGACAATACAGCATAGCTTTGTAGGAGACTATGGTAAAAGAAAACAGAGGCTGTGCTCTGTAAGACAGTAGAATAGCAAGAGCTCTGTCAAGTGGATGGAATCTGGAGAGGGACGTTATCAGTAGTCCTGAGGTTTGTTACCTGCTCTGTGACTTGTTTTATTTACCTTCTGCCACTTGCTCCATGTCAGGTAAAATGCATTATTGCCACTGGGATTTGTAGGGAGCCAGTAGTCAGAGTTACTTTTATAATTAAAAAAAAAAAAATCAAAGGGCTATGGGCTGGACCAGATACTGCTGGCATCATTTCAGTGGGTGAAAGTAGGAAGAATTTAGTCTGTTCTTCCTAAGCAGAAATTCCCAAACAAACAAAATTAAGTGGCTTGCACATTGAAGATGTGCAGATCGTGTAGTATATCTATTTTCCTCTTGCTTGAAAATGTATATGAACCTCAGTATGCCTAATAGAAGTAGCTATTGCATTGCAAACACAGAGGTTCAGTAGGAGCTGGAACGGAGACTTCGCTAATGAGGATTCTGGCTCATATCCTGGCACCACTGGTTGGACAAGGATATTGTTCGTTTTAGCCCAAGAGCAAATTTCTAGAGTTGTGTCACGCTGGGAGGGGGAGGGGTATCCTGACTTGCATGCTTTGAGCTGGCCATTAATTGCAGAATCCAGGCAAGAGTCCATAATATCTCGTTGGTGGAGCTCAGTAGCTGGAAGCTTGGCAGGTGCTTGTCTGCCTCTCTCCCATCAGCAAGTGTGCTCTGACAAAAGGAAACAGCTCTGGGATCTCGAGGAATTAAGCAGTCTTATTTGGCTAATTCCTTCGTGTTCCTCCCTGGGAGCGCACGTAACAACAAACATGCCTGCACAGTAGCGGTGCCTGTGTACAGCTAAGGAGCAGAGAGCTGCAGCCCCACAGGCCTGGGCACAACAGAAGCTGTTCAGAGCTGAAAGTGCAGTTGAATTACGAGCTGCTCCTGCAAAGGGGTGGCTGCACAGCCATGCCAGGCTAACAGTGTGTCTTGTGTAGCTGCCTAGATAGCAACGCACACACAGAGACAAGTTGTTTCTGGCTAGGAACAGGCTTGCAAACCAAATGGAGTCTGATGCCACTCATTGAATGGAGACCTATAGGGCTTCATTAGAGGGGGGAAAAAGGTTAAATTGACTCTGCATTTTTCCTGTGCGCCACTTCTTATTTCCTGTTAATTTGATCTTTATTCATAGAATCATCTACAGGGCCATGAGAGCTTGGCCTGTGGAGATTTTTCATCTCCAGCTTATTAGCACCTCTAAGCTGAGCACTGCTGCTAGCAGATAACTTTTTGAAATTATCTTCCAAAGGTATTTCTTACACTGGAAATGTATGCAATTGGTGCTATAACCTGTTCAGAGCTGCCTGAAGATGGTACCATGTTTCACTCTACCCAGAGGCTTGTTCATGGACTTGGCGCATCCTCCTTGATACATGCCCCAGTGCCGTGCTGAGCGTTACACAGGAGGACACTAGGAGGGAGGGGATCTGTTCTGTAGTAGTAGTGTAGCTGAGACTGCATCAGGCCTTTTGTTGAAACCTTTAAAATGCAACAGGGAAGGTCAGCATGGGAAAAGCCTGGGCAGATGGATGGATCTGTATCCAAACACATGGATACAGATAGAATTTTAACAGAAACCGACAGGCCCCTGTTACTGAGCGATAACCAGTCAGTAACTGTGGTGGATTAGGATCCTTAATTAATAAAGGGACACCTATTTATTTGCTTGTTTTGTTATTTTAAGTTTGAGTAATGACTGCTTTGGATTCTGTCTGTCACAGCCTGTTAAGTTTTGTGAATTAACTCTGTATCCCAGTAACTTGTATTTGGCTGCAACAGATTTGCCAAGAAGTGGCCTCTGAAGCCGTTTTTAATTTCTGTTGGCAGTATTGGCCCTGCAGAGCTAAGACTGATGGGCGTTTGCCTGATTTTCACAGTTCTCTCTCTTTATTGGGAGCCTACTGAAACCCACTGAAATAAGCAAGTTGATTGTTTTAAAAAGCCCCTTGCTGACAGATCTGCAGAGTGGTAATTTCATCCTGAAGTGCTTTTCTCACTGTCATTATTGAGTCAGACACAGCAGTATATGGGGGGCATCTCATGCAATCATGCATCCACTTATTTTGCTGTTTGCCTCTTAAGATCTTACAGGCCCTTGGAAAGTCATACCATCCCGGCTGCTTCCGCTGCGTGGTGTGTAACGAATGTTTGGATGGAGTCCCCTTTACTGTTGATGTGGAGAACAATATTTACTGTGTCAAAGACTACCATACGTAAGTCCACAAATCCATTGCGTGCTTGGAAAGATTACAGTAGTTAAATTATTGGTTAAGTTATAAGCCTTGTAGTAGATAAAAAGGGTAATTCCTATTTGCTCAGATGCTCCTAGAGTGCTGCTCTCACATGTTGCATTTGTAAAGTATTTTAAAGTTACATTAAAGGTCACTTCATGAGCCCAGTGTGGCATGCGGTGGCCAGGTGAGGTTGAAAATCAAGTTGTGTCGGAGGATGTACTTCCCTGGTGGCTCTTTCTCTCCTTCTTTCAGAACTTCAAATGCTAATTAGATCAGGCTAATTCTGCAAGTGGTGGTAGGTTCTGCTGGCTGTTTCTAAGAGTTGAGGTTCTGGTAGTGTGTGACACCGGTAAGCATAAGTTAGGTTAACCTAGACTGGGCAGTAGACATGTAATTAGCAGCTAGTGTTAGAATGATTTTAGTGTCACATGACACAAAGTTTTGTGGTTTAAGTGATTGCTTTGGGACTCCTTTCTTCTCCCCCTCAAAGGCAATGTGAATTAGCTCCAGTCAACCAATAACTCAGCTTATGCAGCAAGAGTAAATCGCTCTGAACTCAACCGTATTGGTACCAAGCTGACTGTGTTACAAGGATAGAGTGAATGTTGGCCCAGTGATTGTCATAAAATGCAGCTGTGGATAATAAGATGGGTTGATGTATTTGGTTTAAGTAGATCCTAGCCATGATCAGCCCCTCTCCTATTTAGCATGGTTATGTCTTCCTGATGTCAGATGGTGACAGTCCCCAAATTAGAAGTTGCTTTGCAGTCAAAACAGCGAGTCTCTGAAAGAATTTGAATGGCTTTATGAGTAAAGGAAGGTAAGAGAAAGGGCATATGTGGGAAGAGGGCTGGATTCATGATGCCTAGAGGTCAGGAAGACCTAAGCAATAAAGCTGGGGTAGATCAGCCTCTTCCAAATCTCCTTTTCCCTGGATATCATCAAACATTTAGATGCATTTGAAATCCTGTGCATCTACATTTTGCTAAAAACAAGGCGTGGTTAGAATAGCTCTCTTGGTTCTACTTTTTGAAGAAACTTTAAATGTGATTTTGAACACTTTCTTCTTGCACCCTAGGGTTTTTGCACCAAAATGTGCTTCCTGTAACCAGCCGATCCTACCAGCACAGGTACATGTTAACATGCACTGACTCTTTAGAAAAAACAACTATTGGTGTATGAACGCTTTCTAAAAACATATTAGATGCTTTTCTTCCCTCTTCCAGAGTCTATACTATGTCAGATACTAAATTAAATACAGTTCAGCAGTAATGTCACTCCCAAACATTCTCAGAAGTTGTAATAGTCACACTCTACTTATGCAGCGTAGTACTTTGTATCTTTAGGGTACTTTCCAGGTCTTAGTTATGCTGTTATAAATCTCATTTAATTGAAAGCCCTGACAGGGCTCCATGAATGACCAAAGAATTAAAGCCCTGTTTATTTTTAGAATCTCCCATTAGCTCAAATAGCAAATTTCCTTGTCTGCTACATTTGCATTTCTAATGTGGACCTGTTAAGATGCCCAAACTTGAAAAGACATCTGAGAGTTACTCTGACCCTGTGAGAAGGCCAGACAATCTGTCATCCTGGGATGGCAATGTAATGAAAGTGCTTAAAGGGGTGGAAAAGGCAGCAGAAAAGGTGGCTAAAAGGGAACCCAGGTGAATTGCCTGCTTGCAACCTCAGCCTATCCTGACAGTATGGTTAGCACGATAAGACTTGTGCATTAGGACAATCCCATTTCTGCCTGCCCACAGTAGTGCTCCCTTATACTCTGGTGGGTGCAGCACCATCTGAGTTCCCGTTGCTGAGGTCATCGACCAGTTCATTTGTAAGCAATGGCCTCAGCACCTCCCTCCTTTTCCTCTTCTCATGTTTATAGAGCCAGAGCTTGCATACTATAAGCCCCAATTAAGCCTGTGGCTAGAGCCTCTCAGCATGCCCACCTCCATCGCTGCATGTTATTCTCTGTCATTATTATTTCTGTTAATTGTGTGAGACCTGGGCATTTAAAACCCTTGCAAAGATGAGCCAGAACTTCTTGTCCTAGTGATGGCATGTGAGGAGAAAACCCCTATGTAAATTTCACTGGATTTGTGTCTTACAAAATGACTTTTTTTAAAAAAAAAAAAAGAAAAAAAAAGCAGTCCTACTGCTGACTCATCTGATGATGGCTAGCAAGATAGACTCCATGTTCTTTCCCATGGAGGTTTCTTAGGTTAGTTCAAGTCTAGCAGTGCAGGTACTAACTTGCCCACAGCTTCTCTCAGACATAGTCTACGTCATATCTGATGCTCTAACCAGACCTGGAACTGGAAACAATGCAAGGCAACAAATTTAATGAGCTCTGTCTTCAGAGGCTTCAGAGCGGATCAGGGAAAGAGTCTGTGAGGTTACAAGAAGGGTATGGGCTGCTCTGCAGGGCCTGGGGCTCAGCCAGGAATTACACAACTCCACTGCATCCACCCTCATGCTGAGGTTTTGGCCTGTGCACATCATTACCTGCTGGACTGGTATGTAAATCCCTATGGGGTACATACAGTGACATATGCATGTGCAAAATAGCTGTGCAGCAGATGGTTTGAGGGGAATACAAGCCCTGGAAAACTCAGCCCAGGATGTCTACAAGGAAAAGTTACCCAATCAGCAGGTCATAGTTTTTGCCTGGTAATTCGTTCAGATCCTGGGTGCCCTTGAAAAAAAATATTTGATTTCAAGACTAATTTGTCTCTTAAGGATGAAGTTTTGGCTACACTTCCCAAATGACCTCTACAGGTTAGATATGTCAGGCACCCACGCTGCTGCTGAACAGCAAAACTAGCGGTGCAGTGCTGTGCACCAGGGGACAAGACCCTCAGTGGTCACAGACCTCTGCTCTGCGGAGGAAGAGGGGGATCCCCTGGGGAGACAGCTCTCCAAAGCAATAGGTTGGGCACTGAAAGAAGATTGAGAAAACACTGCTTTACAAGCCCACTCTTGCCTTCTCTCTGCTTCCCCAACAGGGCTCCGAGGAGACCATTCGGGTTGTGTCAATGGACAAAGACTACCATGTGGAGTGCTATCACTGCGAGGTAAGCATCAGGCACCTCTGCTGGCCTGCCCCACAGCAAGGCTTTGCTAATAACTAGCAGCCTCTTGGTAGGTGCCTGACTCGCACCTCAGGGTGCACTTGCTGGCTCTTGCATGCCTGGGCAGGTAGGGCTCTGCCCCACAGCTCCTGAAGGGAGGCAAAGGAATGAGTGCTAGCTGGGCTGCAAGTGGTCCTGCCATTTCCAGTACCAAATTAGTTTCTTTTTTTTTTTCCCCCCAGTATATTAACTTGAAAAGCTGGGTTTGGTTCTTTGGGTTGAATTTTTTTCAATACTTCAAGGTGGGGAGAGGTCAAAGAGTAGGTGCCAGTTCTCTTTTTTCTGATCTCTGGATACAGCTTGTATGGCTCTGATCTGAGGAGACTTGAATTCACATTGCCTGTGCAGGGAAGGACATAAACTGGAAGGCTTTTGTAGGTGATCTGTGTTTTTTCCATGCTGAATGAATATTGATTCTTTATTAGAAAAGAGACAGGGATACCACTGACTTTCTGTCACTTTTTTCATAGTAGTTTCTTTTGTGCAGCACATTTAAAAGTTTATTGGGGCAGATCAAGGTTGTGGGATTAGTGCTCTTGTTTCAGAGAGGAGAACTGAGTTCAGTCCTAGCTCTACATCCGGCAGCATGAGGAGGGAAACAAACTCTTTAATTTGAGATCAACCCAAACTTCCCTTTTGCTGTAGGTTTGGCACTCTGATATAACATGCAAATATCCACACAGATCCTAACTGTGCTACCTAACTGTCTTAGCACCAGAGGCAAAAATGCAGCAATGCTATCTTCCATGCACTTTTGTACAAAAAGGTTTTACAAAGAGACTTCCAATAAAGGGAGAAAATAACAAAATGCAGGGCATCTTGAAATGTACGTGAACCTAAACGTAAGGAAGACCCCATCCACTCAGTTATCTCCTTCCCCTAGAGATATCTGGATACTCCGTCCTTTTCTATTAATTTTTCAAGAGAAATTGGCACAGGAAATTGCAGCATTTTGGAGAGCTGTACTTCCCTCCTCCTTCTTCCCCCATCTATTGCTTTGTGCAGGCTTCACCTAAGATGACAGCTCCCTCCCCTTCTCTCTCAGGCTATTGACTTTATATTAGAATGTCCCAATGGGGGTTTATTTTCAGTTCTGTTTCATTATTCATTTCCCCATTCTCCTTCCAGTTTGAGGCAAATGAAGCTGCCTCCACATCTGCCCAGAATGGCAGAGTGTGTTTACATGCAGAAGTCAGGGGGTTAGCCATGTGTAAACAGGGGTACGTTACTGCCTAAGGTTCTCCAGTCAGGCTCTCAAACTGTACACACTGGGTCACTGCTGTCTCCAAATACTGCTAGAAAAGTTAGTGCCAGTATTTCGAGGTATTCACATGGAGACTTTTGCAAAGGCTATGACGACTTAGGCAGCCACTTCTGAAATGCCATTAATGTCATCATCACCTGGTGGGCATGCAAAGCCAGTAGTCAGTTTGGAAACTTCGCTGCTTTTCTATATCATCTCTTTCTTGCAACCACATAACTTCTGCTGAGAAGTTCAAGCTGTTTTACAGATCAGCAGACCCCCATTCTAAAACTGAAATCCACTGAGAAGGCAGGCTTTCTCACCGCAGAAAAGGAATACAATTTTGGAGAGGGAAAAAGGTGTGAACACTTGGCACAACTGTAGGTTATCCAAAATTGTTAAATTCTAATGAGGAATTGAATTTTAAATCTTACATAAAGGACTATAAAGTTATTGTATAACGTACAGTAACACACAGAAGACTACCTTGGCAGAAACTTTGATTAAACCCTCCCTAAACTAACACGCCAGTTTTAAAGCTTACTTTAAAGCCCATTTTTCATTTTTATTTCAGCATTGTAAAATTTGAGGATTTTAATTTGAGCTATGAAAGCTGAAAAATTGTACTTCGTGTCCAATTAAAAAATTTGCATCAGTTTTCAGTACTAAAATGACCTATATGCCCAACTTGTTCAATTTTTTTTTTTTTGCTTTTCTATTAAGTGTGCACATACATACTCGGAATCTCTGGTTTGTCAGGACTGGTCACAGTAACAATTTTTAAGTATTTAACATACTTGGGACATCAAATCCAAGCACAAAACTGCCATGACTTTCAAATGTCCTCAAAATTATAATGATAACTGAAAACGAGGATTGTCTCTATTGCAGTGTACGTAATAGCCAGCAGGCAGGATCATTGTTTGTTGTTGTTCTTTTCATCTCTGTTCCTCCACTGTTGTTCACCCATGTCATCCCTGTAGTTACATGCCAGTCCTAGAGGTACTACCATATTTCCACTAAAGATAGGCCATTGGCCTTGAAGTCTTTTTTTTTTTTTTTTAATTCCAAATTAGAGAAAGATTAGCCCTGCTTCAGAAGTAAAACCTGTCTCGTCTCCCCCTCTTCCCCACTCCTCTCATTCTCTACTTATGCTCCCCCATTTCTTGCTCGCTGCCTTGCTGCAGAATTAGCTCCTTCTCTGTTCTAACCTCTTCCAGGTTTTATGTGTCAGAGTCAGTCCTTGGCCTGTCTTTAGTTAGTCTTTGGCCTGTCTGATTTGCATCAACATTTACTAGATGATGAAGAGACCAGAATGGGAAACAATGGGGAAGAAAATGCTGGGTACTACTATAGACTGTCCTGTTTGATTTCAGTGATGTCATTTTGCTTAATATGAGATAATCAGGGTCCACCTACCAAAAACTCTTGAGGTTGCTGGCTTTGGAGGCGTGGGAGGGAGCTCTCAGGGCTATGCAGGATAGATCAGCATTGTTGTGAGATGACCTACCTGAACCATTCACTAATCTGGGATGTATATGTTTCTTCTAGGATTGTGGCTTGCAGCTCAATGATGAGGAAGGCCATCGTTGTTACCCATTAGAGGGCCACTTGCTCTGCCATGGCTGTCATATCAGGCGCCTTAATATTAAACTGCCATCACATCCACCTCCAAGCTATCCAATGCATGTCACAGAACTCTGAAAGACATTTCTAATACCAATAAGCCGTTTGAAAGAGAAGACAAAAATCTAAAAATGACTTTCCTGTTCCTTTAAAGATAACCATCTAAACCAGCTATTTATTTTTTAAATCAGAGGTGAGGGGTCCTTTTCTGATCTTGTACATCTGCGTTCTTTTATCTAGACATTTTCACTGAGACACTGTCTACTTGAACAAATAATTCACCACTAAACTGTAACTGTAAATGGCAGCATTTCTAAAAACAATGGTACAAAGGGCTGTTCTGCACTCCCTACTCACTTTCCTTCAGTGGAGGTTTTGTCCAAGTAAGGAGTGTAGAATTACTTCCCAAAAGTTAGCACCTTATCATATTGCAGCAAGCATGATAAGATAAATGCTAGCATTTTAGCTAGTTTTGTTGAATTCTGGTCTTAGAGAATACAGTCTCACATTTTTTTAAAACTTAGATTCCCAGAGGTAGTGAATAGGAAGCAAACAAGTGTTTTTGGCAATGGCAGTTTTCAGCATGGGTTAAATAATGGCATTCTGTGAAGAAGCATCGGGCCGGCTTTCCATCCTACAAGGTTCCACAGTCATCCAAAGACTATTTAGCTTGTTAAAGAAATCTGGTAAGCATCTCGCGTAACAACCGCATTACAGAGAAATATATTGAAAAGATTGGCACATGCAGAGTCATAACTTGAAGAAAGTTACAGACCTCTGTAATCACTTGCTGTGTACAAATGTAGCCACGGTTTCAAAATGCATTCATATCAACTTGATGATTTGGCACTTACTAAAGAATTCATCTTTTAAACCTGTTTTTTGTTTAATAGGGTTAGCAGCCCCTTTCTATGCAAAGGTACACTTGTCTTTATACTACTTGTTTTATACAAGACTTCATTTGTTACCAACTGCTTTATGATTGTATGTTGATACATTATTAAAAAAAAGAGGGGGACAGTGGTTTTTGTATTATCTTTTCAGCTTCGTGTTCTTTTCTAGATGTACTTTTGAACTGATTACAGTGATTGTCCTCATTGGAAAACAAAGTACAGTTTAGCAGAAATAATAATTTAGAGATTCAGCAGACCATTTTAACATTGGTATTTTATAACAAGTATTAGATGTACATAGAATGTACACACTTTCATATTTTGCATAAGCTTTTACAGTAACCTCAGAGCTCTGGGGAAATATATGTCTTCCATATAGGAAGTTAGATGAATCTTTTATATGGTTTGTTTTCTACCATGTGTTGATGATTTACATGCAAATCACACATCTGTATGTTTAAAAAATTCCTTGCATTCTCCTGAGAATTGATCCAGCCTTCCTGAATTTGTATTTTAAATAAATCCATCATTGCTGTCTTTAACTGTATCCAAATTCACAACAAAATAAAACTCTTTTGCTCCAGAGGAAGTGCAAATACCAGACCAGATTCTCCGCATGTGTAAACTGGGACATTTCCATGCCAGTTCTCAACACATCTAGAATCTGACCCATCCATTCAGAAATGATCCCATGTTAAATTCAGCACACAGACTGACAAAATGACTTATTTATTTGGCAACACCATTGCAGTTTAGTTTCTTATGCTCCATTGATTTTTTGAAAGCCGTTTGTGGTGCACTTGAAAAGTACAAAGAGCATCCAATGGACACTAATTCCTAAGTGGAATAATTAACTCCCTTAACAGAACTTTTTGATAGTCTGGAATTTCCTTATGGGGGGAAGAGGGGGGCCAGGAAAAATTCTTGTGAACTGTTTTTTTTTCTGTTAATAAGGAACAAAAGGTATGTTTCCTGAACTTTTGCCAAACTTCCATTGGCCTAGATTAACCTGTCCTACTGAATGCTCCTTGGCAAGTCAGATGCTGCTTTAAAAAGTCGTTTTCTAATTAATATGTATCAGTTTGTAATTAACATATTTAATGTGATAGCCATGTTTTGAAGGAATTGGAGTGCAACCAACTAGTGCCCTGTTTCTACAGCGTGACCTAAGAGGCCTGGCCTGCAAAAGAGAGGACATTGGGTGCATGCACAGTTTTTCTGCATTTGCAAACATCACCTCTGTGTCCATAGTCACCAGCCCAGCCTCAGAAGGAAGTGGAAGTACATGTGCCTCTCGCCCAAACAGCAAATGCTGGAAAAGGGAAAAAGAATTGTCTTAAATTGGATTGTATGACTAGGCCAATTCCTTAAGGTTCTTACAAACATGGAAGATAGATAGCAGAGCTTCAGGATAAACTTTTAGCATCAGCTGCAATGTAATACTTTTTCCATTTAAGGAAGCTGCTTTAGATCACATTTAGCTTTGAGGCATTATTACTTGCTTGTCTTTATATATTAAGGAACCCAAATCAAGAAAACAATCATTAAAATACACAGAGAAGGTTTGGGTCTGTTCCTGTGAGCAGGTCATCCCATAACAGTACTCACTGTACTGGAAAATGCTTTGCTCTACCACTATAGAAGCAAAACCTTCAAAATCACAGTGGCCAGAGATGGAGATGACTTACTCTGACATTCGGCCCAGTCTTCTGCCAGTACCTTCCTTAGCACTTTGCCTCCTTCAGTGGCAAGTTGTAAGTTTCCACTCCCAACATACTTTTCAAGGGACAGCATACTAACATGTACATACCATATCTTTTCTTCCTTTTTCCAAAACCGATCATACTGTAGGAAAAAAAAATATTTAATGTCATTTCACACGTTAACTTGTCAGTCTCCTGTAGTTCTACTCAGTTCCAACGTGTTAAGTATCAAAAGGTAATATTTCAATATAGAATAAGCAATTTGTTTAAAACTAGAAAGCAGCAGTTGTTGTTCCAGTATTTTCTATAGACAGGTGCATTCCATTACTGTATAATGAAGTACAGCTTTGTTTTTCCAGCATTTAGTATAAAAACTGGAGCTTGAGTGAAATTTGCCAGGTTTTGGTTTTTTTTTTTTTTTTTCCAAAGAGAAAAATAAAAGCAAATCTAAAATAATGATGTGCTGTACTCTTTAGTGCTAGTGACAGTTTCTGCACATTTTTACTTCCTGTCTGGGGAATTACGTAAATGAGAAAGCTTCTTTTAATGATTTTCTTAAGGAGTATTCTTATATTAAATCAGTTCCAACACAGATGTAAACTTTCTAGAGTTCATTTTATGATGTGATTGTTCTTCAGAAGCTTTTGCTGTACTTTCAGAACATTTCCATAAAGTCAAAACAATAACAACTTGTTCTCATTTGCATCAGGACTACACCTTTCCATTTTGGTAAGGAATCTTACACAGTCCCTACAGCACAAAGCTGTTGCAGGTGATTCAGAGTCCCTCGTGCACTGAAGGACATGTTCCAAAGAAAGGACCAAAATAATAATCTGAAAACAAAACAAAATAAAAGAATGCACTCAGTAATTGAGCTTTCAAAGAGGGTTTGTTTGGGTTTCTTTCCTTTTCCTTTCACTTGGGTGCACGTGTGTGTGTGTGTATATTTTGTAAGGTGGAGCTTCAAAAGGAAAACATGGTTAGAGGAGCTCTTTAAGACCAGAAATTCCAGAGTAGTTAAGTAAACCAAAGCTCTAAAGGAGACAAAAGCTGCTTTCTTGTGTTTCAAGAAAAGTTTAAAAGTTTGTGATTCATCCTGTAACTAATGCCGTAACTAGAGTATATAATTTGACTTAAATTAAGTTTTCATTTGAGAAATATTTTCATTTTCTTTAAAAGAATATAGTTTTCTTCCAAGAACTTGGACCAACGTTGATTTTTATTTTGTAGGAAATATATAAATTCCCAGTTTGTATATCATGTAACTAGTTTACATGCTGAAAATATACATTAGTTTAACTATTTTTGTGTATATATCCTTGTAAAACCTTTCAATGTGCTTCTGTCTTTTAGTCCTCAGAATTACTTGTGGTTTTGTGTTTCAGTGTTTGATTCCCTTGATTGTTGAAGAAAAAAAATTGGGAAATGTAGATTTATTTATCTAAAGAAGAAGCTACTTGCTATCATCCTAAGTTATTTAATATTAAAGTCAGAAGTTGCATTTAACCTTAGATGCTATAATCTGCTTTTTTCAATAAAGACATTTTGTAGTTATCTTTGGTTTTGTAGTTTGTTGCATGTAAGTATTTTATTTTTTTTAATCTAGGTGGGCACTAAAGCAGTTTTCAGGAGACCCTTGTATTGCCTACAGAAATGTCTTAACTGATATTAATTGATTGCAGCTGCATTCATGAAGGATTTTGGTCCTCCAGTGCAAGTGTTACTAATTAAGGTCTAAAATATGCCCACAGCTAACATTTTGCAGCTGCACTTAGAAAAGAATTTAGTCACTCTGGCAATTTTTAATTAAGCTTTAACCAGTCTGGCTAGTTCACATGTAGGACAGTCAGTATTGAGGAACACTTCCTTTTCAAGACTACCATTTGGAGTGTTCCAGAAGAGAAGTATGTGCCTGGGCTATGAACTTGCATAGCTTTAAGCTTGGTATGGGGAATTTTCTCAGTTTTCTTGCTAAGTCACAGTAATACAGAAACTACAGCCAGAGCTTTGATAGGATCGAAAAGGTGCTTTTTTTAATATGTTTTACCTTTCTGAGGCTCTTTGCCACTTTCTTATCTCCTTCACGGCACAGACGGGAGCTTGGTCACATTTACCTTCCACACACAGTGGTCCTGCAAGAGCAGCTATGTCTGTTAGGCAAAAGGTTCATCAGCACTGGTATCTTGTCTGCAACTATGGCCAAAAGTGGATGCCTGGGGAAAGAGTACAAGAACTCGTTTGTTCCTGGTTTCCTCATGTTCACTGGGTTTCCTTTCCATTAAGCTGGTCAGTCTACCATCCTTGTGGACGCTCTTTCCTCTAGTGACTTGGCAGAAGCCAAATACTCACAAGCTGCTATTCCAGTGTGATGCCACCCTCTCCTCCAGAGAGGCCTGCTCTGCAGCTCTGCCACCCTGGCTTTGCAAAGTACAAATGACTTACTTCAACATTTGGAAATGAAACTCAATGGTGGTTTTCACAC